GTATTTGGAACAAAGCAGGTATTATAAATAAACTCTTTATCCATAATAATGTAAAGTGTGTATAGAGTGAAAAAACCTTGTGAACTTTGTTGCTCTCATTATAGTTTATTATTCAAATTTAATAGCATAATTAGTATTCTACAATTATATATTATACATTATATAATTATATTATTATATTATAATTATGTAAATCATGCTATTTATCAGTGCTAGTTGAGGTAGTTAGAGATGAACCTGATAAAAGCAATAAACAAGTGATAACTTCATAACACACTGCAGAGAAACGTTTGTGGATAAATTTCACATAAGATGTCAGTGTTTTCAGGCTTAAAGCTGGAAAATAAAAGAAAAAAATCTTCTGTTACTCACTCTTTGTCGACTGTGTCGTGGTGATGAAGTGTGTAGAGGAAACTGCAACATACAGATCCACAATCAGACAATGCAGAGAGAATCAGACAGTAGATTATAAAGAGCAGCTCTGATACTCTAACTGAGTTCTACAATGTGGTAGCTGAAGGAATGATCTGACCTGCAGTAGATTTCTCCTGTGTTGTGGACGGCTGCGCTGGTATAGGGAGCAAATCTAACAAAGAAGAACATGAACCATTATAGAACATACATCTGGGATAAACTACATTCATGTATAATGTACATTTTTATTATGTATTATATTATTATATATCACTTACTTAATACATCATATGTGTCACTCATTGGAGAGCGGACGGACGGGTCAGAGTTTAGTGAATAATCACAGCTCACTTCTCTGCTCTTTACTGACTGCAGACGATTCAAAAGATCCTTTTTAGATGCTGTAAAAAAACAACTCCACTTCCCAGAGTTCCCTCTTCTAGAATCTGTCTTTAGGTACAGCAGGTGTCCAGTGTAGAGATTACATCTAAAATCAGCTCTTACTGACCCTGACAGCGGCATTTCACACACAGCTGTGACAACATCATACTGACTGTCATAACGGACACTCATTTCTGGTTTCTTATCTGCAGAGGAATAAACACCACCATTAAAGACAGTCGATGAGTGGAAAACCATAAAACCCCTTAATTTTAAACCATTTAGTTTATCAGAAATGGTTTGATTTAAGCAGACAGTGACACTCATGAACAAAACCCAGTCAGTATCTTACCCAGGACTGTGACTGTAGCTGGTAGAGAGTGAGGAGAAGGTTTAGTAACTCCTGATAGACTCTCAGTGTAGTAACAAATAATGTTGACCGGTTCAGGTGGACTGTAACTGCGTCCTGTCCACCTGGTCAGTTCAGAGCCAGTGAGTGAGAGCTGACAGGATGGTGAGAGTTTTAGATTTGTCTTGTCTCTCTGTGGATAGAAATAACACTGAGACACTCCAGCATACGGAGTCTTACAGTCCAGCTGTACTGACCCTCTCTCTGTAGAAGAGACCACCAGCTGGGGCTGAGGAACATCTGCAACACACAGACCCACCACAGCAATTCACAGCAAGCGTCTGATTCTCACTGATCACCATCACATTATAAGGTGTTAGTTGGTCCGAAACACAGACTTTTTACAGCGTGCGCTTCAGTTTGTAGGGAAAAAAAATACATAATGGATCAAATCCACAAACTGGTAAGTGACTCACTTTGAGGATGAACTTCCAGAATCAGACAGAAGGAGAGGAGGATGATCAGAGCCATTTCACCATCACCAAGAGTGAAGAGAGCATCGAGACACTCGACTCAGACAGATAACAGAGCGACAGGAAAACCACCACTGATCACTTCTGGTTTTACAATGAAAAGTTCATTTCCTCTTCAGCTCAGTGTTTTACCTGCTCTACACAAACCTATTGTCACTTCCCATTTATACAGTTTACAATTAGATAATATGACACCAACATGGTCTGAATAGAGAGTATTGGTTTGTGTATTTCACTAGTGTGAGTGATTCTATCTGTCCAGCACAGATTACTCACAAAAAAATGACCGACTGTAAGTAGAAAAACTTAGTTTTCTAAGGCATTGTGTTACAAATATTGAATTCAGAGTCACATCCATGCAAACCTCACCATCACAACCTGACCCCACTGATGCTGCCGCTGCTGCTGCATGAACTAAACTAATCAAATGAATCATTTGCTCCACCTGTTTTCCCTGTTTTTGAACTATAATACTTTATACTAACAATGTTTACTATCCAGTGTCGACCAGAGGAGGATGGGTTCCCCTTCTGAGTCTTGGTTCCTCTTAAGGTTTCTTCCTGTTTCTCTTAGGGAGTTTTACTCGCCACTGTCGCCCCGGATTTCTTTCTGTAATGCTGATTTCCTTATAAAGCTGCTTTGTGACAACACCTGTTGTAAAAAGCGCTATATACATAAACTTTGCTTGCTTGCTTTGCTACATCCACCTCATGTTCTCTCTGCCCCACCACCACTTTCTCCTCATGGAGAGCTCGTGTTCAGAACTGAAACAGAAACTGGTGGACGCTGAAAGCTGGCTGGTACACACTGTCTCTGTATATACATTTATAGATCAGTGTGGTCACTTCACAGTTCATAAAACACTGAGCCTTTTGTAAGGAGGCGCTCCATGCCGCCTGCTGCCAGCAGAGGGCAGCATGGCGCTCGTTGTGGGCAATTCCCAGAAAGCTCTGGGCTGATTGCCTTAATGCCATTCAGCTGGAGGAGCACCTATTTATACCCCACAGACACTCAGGGAAAACGCTGCACCTTTGCAGAGGGGGAGCCGGTAACGGTACCAAACAAAGAGAAATAAGAAAAGTTATAAGGTAAGAGAAAAAGAAAGAGAAACTGTTTCAAAGCAAGGAGAAAGGGAGCTGTAAGAGAAAAGAGAAAATACAAAGGCTCCAAATCAAAGAGAAAAGAGAGCGATGAAAGGAAAGAGAAGAAACAAATCAATGTATTAGACTAAAAGTGTCTACATTTTTGTTTCTGCCTGTTATACGTCCCCCTTTGTTGGAGTACGCTGTAGTAGCGTCTCCTATGTTTGAAGTTTCCCGCCTTTTACCGTCCACGGCCTCGTAAAAGGGCCCACCAATGTTTATACTTCTGAGTGTGTGGCGCAGCGGTGATGCTCCCTTTCCGGGTTGCTGATCTCAGCAGTTTGATCCCAGATTCAGCCAAACTTCCACAAGCATCTCTGTATCACTCTCTTTATGTTCCATTCTTCATCTAGCACACCATGAGGTTTCCTCATTTCCAACCCTGTTTGTAGATAACTGACAGGTCTGCACTTGGGTCCTCTCCCTGCACCAACCCGTGACCTCTTTATAAAAAAAACATTGGTTCTAAACTAAACAGACTGCCGCATGTCTGATGTTCTGCTTTAAAATACTCTGTGGTGAAATCTGAGCTTCCAAAATACCACCAACAAACTCAACTTCAGCAGTTTCACCTCATAAACCTCTCAACTAGTTACCAGACAAACATACAGACTAATTCAGTGACTCTCCAGATTATTTATAATTAAGTTTACCTTGATTTAAAAATGTACACACATAATCATATGTACAAATTTAAACACCCCTGGTGAAATTACGTTTTGTTTATTTAACTGAACACATCCTCTACATAGAACACACTTCAATATGAATTTATCTACCCATTTAATTTCACAATTTCTATTTACTTGTTGCGTTCAACATATTGGAAAAAATAAGCATAGCAACATTTTCTAACTTTCTAACTTTTAATGGATTTTAATATAACCACATTTTTTTCTGTGTAATTTTGGAACATTTCTGTTGGTCTGTTCATCATGAAACTTTCACACAATATAAAGAGCGACTAGAGTTACGCAAAAAAAAAAAAATTGACACAAATGGAGAAACAAGTTTTTGTCATGACAGCAATGATAAAGTACAAAATGTGCCATAACTTCTGCAGAGGCCACAGATTTTTCACCAATATGTCAAGGACCGGTTTTCTATTTTCCATCCATGTTTTAGAGGAAGCAAAATAAAAAAAAATAAAAACCTCATCAAATCTCTGGGCCAGAGGAAAACAATGTAATGGCCATTGTTTATTCAAAATATGCAAAAATTTCAACAGTAAAATATAAGCACTTGTAGTAGACCTTGAAATATTACACAGGCACTTGAAATATTCAAAGTTTAAGTGTCTCCAGGAGCTCAGTGTTTTAAACCTATATACTTGTTGGAAATAGACACCATAGACACCTGGCATCCTTTCTTTGCTACAAGTTCATTAAGACTTGGGCTCAGTTTCTGAGCTGCTGAGCCGATGTTAAGTGTTTATGTTGGTTGAACTGCAGCTGAAATGCATTTTGGTGACATGACTGGTGTGGAACTGTGTAGAATTGTGTAGCATTGAGGTGTAACCGCCATCCCATAGACTGTTGTTGGGCTAGGAGAATCAGAGCGCACATTACGTTGCAGTGCATGCTGGGGACTGTAGTGCAGTGCATTGTTAAACGGGCTAATATTAATAAAAATTTAAATAGTTTTGCGGGCCGGGTAGGATTGTGTCACGGGCCTGATCTGGCCTGCAGACCTTGTGTTTGACACTTTGCGTGTAAACAGTCATCATCAGCGTCTATAATGGGAAAAATTGAAGAGATGTGGAGGCAGTTTTTGATTGGAGCAGTAACACATCTATCATTATTTAATATAATGGTCACACTTTATTTGGATGGTCCCCTGTTACATGACTGGCCTGTTTTTGCTCTGTTGCATGATTGAATTAATTTCCAATGAATTAATAAAATTAATAGATTAAATATTTGGAGGAACTCACTGGAAACTCTGCAGGTCCAGATGGTCAGTCCAATCAGTAAAAGTCCAGCAGCACTGATACACGGTATTACAGATGGCCAAAGAGCTTCAATATAAAAAGTAAATAATCGTATCAGTTATGGAAAGAAAACAACTCACTCAGTCATTTTCCTTTCTGTTATGAATGGCAGCACCTTTAAAGAAGAAACATCTGGAAAGAAAACATGGTGCTCCTAATGCTGCAGCTGTCATGGTGTTACTTTTTCTCAAGGTCCAGGTTCTGAATGGTGGGGCAGTTCATTTCAGCAGAGAAGGAGTCAGAAACTCACAACTTGTGGAGGCCAATAGGGTCTCATTGTGAAGTGTGGACACTGCAGCAGATGCTGAAAAGTAAAAAACGCACCATAAAACATTTAATGATATTTGGAACAAAGCAGGTATTATAAATAAACTCTTTATCCACAATAATGTAAAGCATGTATAGAGTGAAAAAACCTTGTGAACTTTGTTGCTCTCATTATAATTTATTATTCAAATATAATAGCATAATTAGCATTCTACAATTATATACTATATAATATTGTTATAATTATATTACATTATATCATAATTATACAATAGAATTATATAAATCATGCTATTTATCACAATTAGCATAGTTTACTATCAAACAGTAAAGTGATAACTGATGAGGTTGATTCAGTAAAGTTGAGGTAGTTACAGATGAACCTGATAAAAGCAATAAACAAGTGATGAAACTTAAACACACTGAAGTGTTTGTGGATAAATTTCACGTAAGATGTCCGTGTTTTTTTTCAGGCTTTAAGCTGGAAAATAAATAAAAAAAAACTTCAGTTACTCACTCTTTGTCGACTCTGCTGTGGTGATGAAGTGTGTAGAGGAACCTGCTACATACAGATCCACAATCAGACGATGCAGAGAGAATCAGACAGTAGATCATAAAGAGCTCTGATATTCTAACTGAGTTCTACAGTGAGAGGAATAAACTGACCTGCAGTAGATTTCTCTGTTGTTGTGGATGGCGGTGTTGGGGCTGGAAGCAAGTCTGACAAAACAAACACATATCTAACTAATCCGTTTTCTGCACTCGGAGTAATTTTATCCCTGACCTTCCCTTTAAAACCCGATTTTAACATTCCAGTCTGGCAGAGGCTTCAGACTCACCACACTCCTCCTCATCAGATGAGTCTCCACAGTCATCGTCTCCGTCACACTTCCAGCGGATGATGATGCAGCGCCCGGAGTTCTTACATTGGAACTGATCTACACCGCATGTTTTCAGAGCTGCAGAGATGTGACAGTATTGTATCAGAGAAATTGTACAGAGAAGATTACCACTCTGTCATGTCTTCTGGGTTCCTCAAACGCTAGAGGGCGCTCCCGAGCCAGTCCAAAATGAATGGATTAAGATGAAGCATTTGAGCAAAATGCTTAAACATTAAGATAAAAGAATGCATTCATATCCCGAACACAGAACAGCCAATGAGCTGCTCCGCTCACCAACCGATCAGCGCTCAGTAGCAGTAATGTTAGCGTCCTGCTGCCTAAAACCCGTTTGCTGTAGAAAAAAGGAAACATACAGGTGAGATTTTATTCATGTTTTAGTGAAATACATCCAACTTTCTAAAATTAAAGGAAAGTTCTGGGCGAGTGATTAGAAACTATATTTTATTTTTTTGTTTTTAGCCGTTTAGCTCTATTCACCCCGATTCATTGAGCACTCGCTCGTGGGCGCCCTCTGGCGTTTTGCAGTCATGTTTTTAATATAACAGGGGAAATAGGAAGAGGCCAGGCCCCTCAAACCTGGCTCTGATTGTTTTCAGATTGATATTTGATAGTCTGGACAGCAAAAAAGGTGCTTTAAAATGCAAATGCAGTCGTCATCATCAGATCAGTCTCCACAGTCATCCTGTCCATCACACTTCCAGTGGATGGGGATGCAGCGCCTGGAGTACTTACAGTGGAACTGATGCACACATTTGTCACATTTAACAACAGGTTAATACAGTTTAACAGATAAACCCAAAAAACAATGCAACACTTCCCTACGGAGCCCCGCTGGTGACATCCTGTATAAATAAAAATAATGCATGGCCACAGCTTGGTAAGGCATGGGAACGAGATAAGTAAGTCTTGGTCACGACTTAGTAAGGCGTGGGAATGACTTACTAAAGCTATGGAATGAGATCCTAATGCGTGGCCACGACTTTGTAAGGCATGACCCCATTCCCATGGCTTACTAAGTCGTGGCCATGCGTTAGGATGTCGTTCCAACACGTTTATAAGGCGTGGCCACGCATTATTTTTATTTATATGGCCTGTCACCAGCAGAGCTCCGTACGTCCCTATAAAGCATGTGTCCACTTTTCCCAAGCAAAATGTTTACCTAAATGAAAATGTCACAAATCAACAAACTTAAAAAGCCAAACTGTTAAGCATCCTGAACTAAAGCAAACTGTCACAGCATGGAAAATGTTATTTTTCCATTTGTATCTTAGCTGTAATGATGCAGATCAGTGACTCGGATGATGCAATGTTTTTCTTTAAGTTGGGAAGCTGATATTTTATATTTGGCTCTGGAAATGGCCGTTTTCCACTCTGCTGAAGTTTCAGGTCTTGGCTTGGGCCCCTGGGCATGCGGCCACAAAGCCCATTGGATGATCTGGGCCTAGCAGGGCCGAAGTGGGACTTTATTTTGGGAGTCATATGATGCATGATGCAGACCAGCCCATCTACAATTCTAACTCTTTCAACTGCTACACACACAGCATTGCTTTAATGCAAAATGACTTTTTCTAAAATCTGTGCATTTTCATCTCCTTTTTTTATTTGTATCTTATTATTTATATGCCATACTGAGATAAACAAGGTGGATTGAAAGTGATAAAATGAAAACTGATGAAGGTTTTTGTCTAAAATGTGACAATCATGACAGTCAATATGGTACAAACAATGCTAACGTTAGCTAAGTAACTTAATGTCAATGCCCACCTGCTCGGATATGTCCTCATCCTTCTTAATTAGCTTTTTCATACCTTGGTTTTCTGCAGGTTTTGCCGCTGCTGTCCATCTTCACATAGTTCACATATGAAAATTGCAAAAACAGTAATAAAGCTCTGTCTGTTTTAGCCAGCACCACATCATCGTGCTTCATTTGATAATCTCTCGAGCTGATGTTAGCTTCTTATCGGAATTTTCATTCCATCTTAAATAGTGCAGCAGTTAATGCACACGCTAGCGCCAGAACAGGTGATCTTTTGTAATTTGTAAACAATTCCCAAAAACATTCACTATATTAAAAATTGATTTTAAAAGTGAATTCCACTCATTGTTTCAACATTTCTCTGCATAATTTAATCCACTTCATCAGTTTAGAATCAGTAAGTGTTAGATTTATCTTTCTCTGGATATAAAGTAAACTGAGACACATTAACAAGTGTAGCTACACAGTCCAGCTGTACTGAACCTCTCTGTGCAGAAGACCCCACCAGTCAGGGCTGAGAAACATCTGCAACACACAGACCCTCCATCAAGCAATTCACACTGGATACAAACTAAACACAGCAATATCAGCTCATTTCTGAATACAGTGTCAAATGTTGTGACCTCCTATTGTAATCTAACCCTCTGTCTGAATACACAAGCAGCTCTACAAACATCTGGAATCAGAAAAATTCGCCACAAGCATCCGATTGTGTCTCTGATCACCATCACATTATAATGTGTTACAGTTCATCCACACTGACATTTTTACAGTATGCATTACACGAAAACCTTCAGGTTGTAGTTGTTTAATCCAAAATAAAACAATACAGTGGATCAAATCCACAAATTAATATACAAGACTCACTTTGAGGATGAACTTCTAGAATCAGACAGAAGGAGAGGAGGACGATCAGAGCCATTTCACCATCACCAAGAGAGAAGAGAGACACTCAACTCACACAGAGTGACAGGAAAACCACCACTGATCACTTCTGGTCTTTCAAGGCAAAATTCATTTCCTCTTCAGCTCCTATTTTTGGGTTCTGAACATCTCACACATCAATCATCTCTAAAGCATCACTAGCTTTAATATGTGAATGTTACCTGCTCTACAGAAACCAGCCATCATTTCCCATTTATACAGTTTACAGTGAAATAATGACACCAAACTGTTCTGAATGCAGTACAGAGCTGTGTTTACTTCAACAGTGTGAGTTTGTCATTCACAGACTGTGTACTCAACTTCACTATATGAACCTCTCAGCTTTGTACCAAACAAACATACCCCAGGTGAGTGAGTTCCAGATGACTTTTATTTTAAATCTACAGTGATTGTACATTTGATTAACATCATTAATTGAGTCCATCTCCCTGACTCGCTAGCTGAACCAAAAACAGGAGAAAGAGGAGAAATTCAAAGGAAATGGTACCCAGCCCTACAGCCTGGACGATTCTCATTGTAAACAGATAAGAACGGTGTACAGAGTTACTGCACACAGTGTTGTTCTTGTGTATAGTAACAATGGGCTCTTCTCTAAATGCAAAGGAAGGATAACTGGAGTGGCTTTTTCTAAAACAACAAAGATCTCTAAAGATTCTCTAAAACAACAAAGATCTCTAAAGATTCTCTAAAACAAACATCTCTAAAGATTCTCTAAAACAACAAAGATCTCTAAAGATTCTCTAAAACAAACAAAGATCTCTAAAGATTCTCTAAAACAAACAAACATCTCTAAAGATTCTCTAAAACAACAAAGATCTCTAAAGATTCTCTAAAACAAACAAAGATCTCTAAAGATTCTCTAAAACAACAAAGATCTCTAAAGATTCTCTAAAACAAACAAAGATCTCTAAAGATTCTCTAAAACAAACAAAGACCTCTAAAGATTCCCTAAAACAACAAAGATCTCTAAAGATTCTCTAAAACAAACAAAGATCTCTAAAGATTCTCTAAAACAAACAAATATCTCTAAAGATTCTCTAAAACAAACAAAGACCTCTAAAGATTCCCTAAAACAACAAAGATCTCTAAAGATTCTCTAAAACAACAAAGATCTCTAAAGATTCTCTAAAACAAACAAACATCTCTAAAGATTCTCTAAAACAACAAAGATCTCTAAAGATTCTCTAAAACAAACAAACATCTCTAAAGATTCTCTAAAACAAACAAACATCTCTAAAGATTCTCTAAAACAACAAAGACCTCTAAAGATTCTCTAAAACAACAAACATCTCTAAAGATTCTCTAAAACAACAAAGACCTCTAAAGATTCCCTAAAACAACAAAGACCTTTAAAGATTCCCTAAAACAAACAAAGATCTCTACAGATTCTCTAAAACAAACAAACATCTCTAAAGATTCTCTAAAACAAACAAAGATCTCTAAAGATTTTCTAAAACAAATTTAATTTTATTATTTGTAAAGTGTTAAACAGTAATACTGAGTAAAATGGACTGATTGTAGTATTATTATTATTATTATTATTATTATTATTATTATTATTATTATTATTATTATTATTTGTAGCAGTAGTATAGTAATAGTGGTTGTAGTAATATAAAAATGTTTTGTTAAAAATTTGTTTTTTTAATTCAAAATTTGGGTTTCCACCAGACACTACAGGCAGGTGGACCACCCTGCACATAAAGCAAGGAGCACCTGTGTGACCCCTGCTGTACTGCTGAGGGTGTTTCAGCAAAGCTAGACTGGTCTGGTCTTGTTTTTTGTACTGTCCTTTTTTCTAAGAGCCTCCAGGCGAGCCGCATGGTGCTTCTTATCACTTTTTATTTTTTTGCTGACACTGGTCCCCCTTCAAAAGAACCCGTCTGTCTGCATTGCATGAATTTTTGAACATGCTTTCTACTGAATTCTTTACAAGGTCAAACACTGCAGTAGTGAGAGTGTCTGTGTGTTCATGCACAGCAGAGATGACTTCTTCTTCTTCTTTTTCCCATTTCTTTCGTCTCCAGAGTAATACATGAAAATCACCAAGACCTCGTTCATTCTAAAATATAATATAATGTATGGGAGGCATTGGTGAATGTGTTAAATCACACTTCTTGTTGTGTGATTGTAATATTTTCTCCCAAGTATTTGCACATTATTTGCCAACTGACCTGTAATGACTGTAATTACATAGATCTGATCAGAGAGCCACTATCACTGTGACATTCTTTTTGCTATACTATTTGAATAATGAAATTAAATATTTCAGTACATAATGAGCTGCAATTCATAGCATTTACATTAAATTTACATTCAACAAGTCAAGTCTGCACTTTTTTCTGCTCGTTCTGTACAAAATCATGGCAAAAATGGGTAAAACTTTAAATAAGCAGTTTTGATCCTCTAAGTTTGAAGTTAGCTGAAAAAGAAAGAAAGACTGCATTGTGACGCCCCCTGCATTGAGAATGTTAAGAAGCCTATCTGTAATTTAAGCTCATACTTATTAGAGCCCCAAACAAGCATATAATCATCAATACTCACATTAAGATATAGATTTACATAATTTACTTGTGGTAGTCATTGTTATGTTAGCCTTTAATTTCACAGTGAATCAGCTAACAAGATGGGGACCCCCCAAAAAATCTTGCTTAGGCCCGCCAAAAGACTAGAACAGGCCCTATAGATATGCACTTAGTATACCCTGTGTATATATATGTTATATTCATGTGTGCGTGTGTTTTATATATGTTATTATATCTGTGCTTGTACTCATTTAAGTTTATTACATTAATACTTTATTTGACATTATCATAGAGTCGATTAAGTTCTTCATTAGTACTTCATTTATTTATTTCCAATTGTCACATTAATTAATACATTAATAAACTACTTAATAATATCTAAAATAATGTGTGTTATCCTTACTATCAGTAATGATTAAGACATTATTTAAGCTTTTTGTAATAATCAAAAACTACTCAATGAAATCTCAAGGTTATTTCTTATTTCTATCATTCGTTACTGATTAATTACTGTGTTACATAACAAGCATTATTTTCCAACGGTCACATTATGAAATGTGGTGTGGGAGGATCTCTAAAGCTGAACCTTTTGATTTGATTGGATCTTGTGGACGGTGTATTTAATTCTCTAATTCATTTTTACAGAACAACAAATGTATAATAGGAGACCTATAATGCTCTTTTTCAGTGTTTATTTTTGGGGTCTACTAGAATAGATTTACAGGCTTCAATGTTCCAAAAACTACATTTTTCTCATATTGTACATCTCTGTTCACCCTCTGTCCGAAACGCTGTCTTTAAGCCCAATGTGCTCTGATTGGTCAGCTTGTCCATTCTGATTGGTCAACCGACAGAGCAGTATCCTGCTACAAACTCCACCACTCCACTGCTGTGGCTGTTCTTACAATGGTGTTAGTTCTGCTGTATCAGTTTGAGCCAAAGTCTGATCCTGAAAGTCAGGTAGAACAAGTTGGTGAAGCAAATCCACCAAGAGGCGCTTCAGGCACAAAAAGCTACATAACACACTAAAGGAAAGGGAAAAATCAGAAAGGTATAATAGAGTCTCTTTAACGTTTTACTCTGTCCTCATGTGTTTCACTGCATTTGGTGTTCGTGGGTTGTGATGGTGTTAAACTCGGCCTCCAAGCAGCACATATGCCTTTTAATGGTCACTAGAATAGAATTTGATTTTGCATTCTCATTTTCCCTGTAGCAAAGTCTAAAGCAGGAATTTGTGAGTTTAACTGATTAAACCTGATGAGTGACAAAACTGCACACAATACAACACAAAAACAAACATGTATCACTTATCAAGGTCTGTGAGAAGGAAGTTTTTGATAAAGTTTTGTGCTTCCAGCCACGCCCCCACCACTCCCACACCCCCCAGACCAGCCTATATGCATTTTAACCACTAGCACTTCCCTTTCCGTTTCAGCCTTATATACACACTCTGTGTGAGCCTTTATTAGGCACGTTTTGTTTTTGACTCAACCTGTTCTGCTTCTTTCACACCTTCACTTCAACTGGAAACTCTTGCAGACACAAAGGTAAGTTACTCTGATCATTTTCAAAACAAGTAAGATTACTTGAAATGTTTCACCAGATTAACAAAATAGATGCAAAAGTTCCAAAGAAATTCTCAGAAAATAAATTTCATGAACAGCAGAGCCACAGGACAAACACTAAAATCAAAGTGAGGAACTGAAGGTCTCAGATTGTTCATACTTTACTAGCATTGTGTATTTTCTAGTGTCAGTTAGCAGTTATAATTACTGGAAAGGTTACTTATGACTTTCTCTGGAGTTTTGATCCAGATCAAAACAAATTGTGTCCAAGCTACCAAAGAAAAACACCTGAAGAACAAACCAGATTTCACTCCAGCTTCTGTCCAGATTATTATCAGTTTATTTCTTATCAGGATGAATCAGGGCGTGATGTAGTTTCATTGTCATTGTCAAATCTCAGTCTGTTTGGGATTATGCTCAGTGTAAATCTGCTCACGTCTTATTTCTGATACTGAACATTTGCTCTGATAAATGGCATCAATTTTTGTGCTTCAGAGTCACTGTGAGGTTATATTGTCTCTCCCTCCACACGCAAAAAATAATGTTTTTAAAAATGTGATTTTCATAGTTTCCAGACACAATTACTTTCACAACTGTAAAAAAACTGTAAAAAAAAAAGTTATAACTATTATAACTACAAAGTACATCACTTGGGCTGTCCTGGTGAGACCTGAATGAAATGTGTGAGACTAACTAGACTGACTGCTGTTTCAGCTCGCAGTCGGTTTCAGTACTTTTTTCTCATGGTTTGTACAAAATAAATTTTATTTAAAGCTACATTGTTTAATTGCATGTTCAACGTTGTGTCGATAGTGGTGGTCATTACTAACTGCCACTATCTAAGCTCTTGGCCACAGATGACCATGTCTTTGGATTTAGACCCAGTTGTACCACTCAGTGGACACTATTATGTCAAATTAATAAGATCAAGCAAATATCTGTGCTACCACAAATGCATAAGGGCTCCGACCAGCTGGAAAGAAGTTAAATGTGGTAAAAGGGGAGAAACAGTGTGCCATCAAGCAATATTCAAAATGCCCTTTGTTTGTTTAAATTTATTTTGATTAAAGATCACTGGAATTAAATTTTTCGCTCACTCATTTCATTCCAGGTCCTTGTTGGATACAGCAAGAAATGGGCAGCGAACAATCAAGATCAAACACACATGTGGCCAATGCAACCGATAAGTACCTGAGAATTTACTATGAGACATCAAAGATGACGCTTGAAGAGCTTGTGGTCAAAGCAGATGCAGGGTTTGGTTATTCAAACTCGAGTATCTCGGCACAGGCAAACACCAGCACCACGATGGTTTTTAAGCCTGACTCGCGAGTGCGCTACATACGCCTTCCTCCTAAAGAATTCACCAACTTCGCAGGGGAAGGGGAGCTGTTTGCCAGCGTACTTGTGGAAGATAAAGACGACCCAAAGGTCTTCCTCAAGTGCATCTGCATGAACTTCCATGTTCCCAGTGACCGATCCTTCATTGTGACAGGCAGTGAAAACATCAAGCTCCAGAAGTACGGTGCAAGCGTCTGGGTTGATGAGAATGGAATTAACCATCTCAGATATTAAAAATCATTTTGTGTACGTCTTTTTTGTGATTTCTATTCCGATTCATTGCAAATTCATGAGTAAGTTCTTCTAAAACTGAAATAGTGTGCTGTGGGATTGGACAACAGCTACTGTTTAAAGTGTGCTTCATGAATAAAAATTGATTTGATGACTAAATGTAGTCTTATTTACAGTATACAGTCACAGATGATGTAAAATCTAAAAACACTATTAATAATGCTAAGATAATATACAGTTTTGCAGACACACATTACACAAATACAATCATATGCAAAAGTTTGAACACCCCTGGTCAAATAACATGGTCTTTTGCTTTACTAAGTGAAGGTAAATTAATACATCTACTACAGAGAACACACTGATGAGTCTGTGTCTCACCTGGATGTCCAGAGGTAAGTGATGTGTGGGGCCCAAGCTGTGAGATGGTCTCTACAATAAATGGGAACATCCTTCTTACCAGGGGAACATTTCTCAGGAGGAGACGAGCTGTTATTAGTTTAATCAATTTCAGTGTCAATCTCGCACCTAATTAGGGCAACTATAACGGACTGGGGCGAGATGTTCTCAGCATTGGACGGGTCACTGTGGTTTGAGTCAAGTGCAGATGCACTTGACTCAAACCACAGTGAGTTCACAAACCTAAAATGACTAAATGTTCTGAGGAGGGTAACACAAAGAAATTACTTTCATCACAATGAAGGGCACTAATGTTCATTTTAACAGGCTTTGTAATGTGAGAGAGAACTTCCAGTCACTGGGTCACCATCCACAGCAGACAAGTTCAACGGGGTCTTCAATGGTTCCACAGGGATCTGCAGCTGATGAACCAGCTGGGCTTGAATGAAATTTCCCTCTGCTCTGGAATCGATTAGGGCTGAAAACACAGAAACAGAACCAAGGCAATACAAAGTCACAGGCAGAAGAAAAGACTTCAGTACCAACCTTTTTTGTGGGAATACTCACCACATTTTCTGTATTAATGGGTTATCGTGGCAGAAGCTTACAAGCCAGTTCAGTATGTCAAAAGTTATTACATTTAGAAACGTCTGGTTCATTCCAGCTACTTCCTGCCACCAGTGTACAAAACTATAGGGAATACTCCGCAACGGAACAATGACCCTGCTGAATATGAGCAAGAAGTTCATCCTTCATGTACAGCCTTCATTAGGATGATCAAAAATGGCTTTAAATTCACACATAAAATATTCATACACATTTTCTTGTATGGTAGGCCAAAGGGCAGTAGCCCAATCCAACACTTTACCAGTTAACCTTAAAATTATAAATGAGATCAGCTATATCAGAATCATCAAGTTTATCTGGTTTGCTCACGACAAATAGACTAACTTCTGGGTGCACCACAGCTTCGGCTTAAGGTTCAGGGTTCTTCGAGGGTTGTAAACGACTCAAGATTTCTTTAATGTTTGAAGAGATCTGAGCCAGTTGTTTCTGCTGCTTGTTCTCTGGTTAGAACATCTACAGATTGGGCCAAGGAATCAAATTAATCATTATGTTGGCCCAACAACTGTTCCTAATTACATACGGCTGAAATAAGTCTTTAAAACGCCAACCGCATATGGGTCATATAACAGTGAGACTGATCAAATTAATAACAGCTCGTCTCCTCCTGAGAAACGTCCCCCTGATAAGAAGTATGTTCCCATTTATTGTAGAGACCATCTCACAACTTGGGCCCCACACATCACTTACTTCTGGACATCCAGGTGAGACACAGACTCATCGGTTTTCAGCCAAATATTAGTGGGAGACCATGTTGATCATATTGGCTGATATACATCGATTTGTAGCTTCATGTACCATTTATTCTCAGTGCAACACTCTTAGAGCCCTACCAGCTGGAAAGTTGATGCCTCTACCAGTACCACCTCGCCCCGCTATCGTTACAGATCTGCCTCAGTCTCAGGGAAATACAGTAATTCTTACTGTCATTGGTCGCTTCTTTAGAGGTGTCCGCTTTCTTCCTTTCCCACAATTACCTAGTGCTGAGAGTTTATTTACTCATGTGTTTTCATTTTTATGGTGTACCTGAATTTATTGTTTCTGATCGAGGTTCCCAATTTACTTCACAGGTTTGGTCAGCATTTATGGAACGTTTGGGTATTTTTGTTAGTCTTATGTCTGGTTACCATCAACAACCTAATGGACAGTGTAAGAGGGTGAACCAGGAACTTGATACATTTCAGTGTGTTTATTGTCAGAATGATCAACATGATTGCAGACACATCATTTTAACTGTATTTATGCTTATTTGCATTTATTCTGTCATAAAGCATTCTTACTGTATTTTCTGTTGTTTTTATTCTAATAATATGTAGTAATTGTGTGTTTTGATACTTCATGAATAAATAACAGTGAATTCATTCAGTAGTTGAAGTTTAAGAAGTTTAAGGGACAAAATGGTAGATTTACTAAATGAATAAAGATTACTAACACTAATAATTAATGCGCAGCATAATGTGCCAAAACGTATTAAAATCAGTACAAAATAGACCAGAAGATTATTTGCTAATAGAATAATGAAAGACCACATTAATTCCTCATGATTAAAAAAGTTAAACTTTATAAGGAACCACATTGTAAAGTGTTATCAATTTCTGAGTACAGTGTCAAATGATATTACTTCCTATTATATTCTAATCTGTTTGAATGCACAAGCAGCACTACAAGCACCTAATTTAATCTAATCTAATCTACTAATCATTTCACTGTCTGCATCTCCACCACTCTCCCCTCATGAAGAGAAGGAACTCATGTTGTCCACCAGAGGACATCAAAGCTCTGCGATTGGACACTAAAATAGAACATACAAATTGTGCAGTGTCTAGAAATACAGCCTCCTGTAATAAAGACATGCACTGTTGTTCATCAGTGTGATGATATTTTGAAAACATGAGAGAAATCAAGCCTTTCAGTGAAGAAATATAATTTAAAAATCTTACAATTATCTAAAGAGACACTCATGTCAGTGTCCACTTATAGAGGCATCATTCAAGCAACTGAAGCTCTTATGAAGCTGCAAGATCATTCTGTGTGTATGTTGAGATCCAGGACTCCTCCTGGTGTCTCCAGGAGGTAACAATGACATTTTAAATGAGTAGTTTTGCACTGCTGTCATGTGTTTTCACTGATAGTCCTGAGCCATATTTAATTACGGCAATAGTGGGGCATGATATTTATAATATCATAATTAGTGTGAAGACATGATAAATAGAATCTTTAATTTCTGAATATACTTCTGATTTATTTACACAGCTGGCTTGTTTCTTTTCCCTTTTTGTTCAAATACAGCAAAAACACGTTGCACGTTTTTCAAATAACATGGATGGTGGTCAGTTTATCACTTTGAAGAAGCGTCACAAATACAAAACAATAAGGAAGAGCTGCTTCACCAGTATAGAGACACTTAATTGATGGATAGTGAAAGCTCTTTGATATAATGTCACATGCAAATGTTTCAATACCCCTGGTCAAACTGCATGTTTTGTAGTGAAAATAAGTAAAATAAGTTAATACAACTTTACTCAGCTTAACTTTACACAACTTAAACATGAAACTTTCTGTACAATTTAGTGAACATATTTGAAAAAAATGAGAACCGAAATATTTTATTTTCTCTAATATGTTAAATTCAGCAAGCAATTCTAAATTATGCACTAAAATGTGTATGTATGTAAGTATGTTCTCGGTAAAGGATGTGTTAAATTACTTTCTCTTAGTAAATCAAAACATGTTATTTGACCAGGGGGTGTTCAAACTTTTGCATATGATTGTATTTGTGTAATGTCTGTCTGCAAAACTGTATATTAGCTTAGCTTTATTAATTGTCTTTCGATTTTACATCTACTGAAACACATTATAGACAATCATCTGTGACTGTATACTGTAAATAAGAGACTAAAAAAAAACACTTGAAAACTACATTTAGTCATCAAATCAATTTTTATTCATGAAGCACATTTTAAACAGTAGCTGTTGTCGAATCCCACAGCACACAATTTCAGTTTTAGAAAAAAATGAATTTGCAATGAATTAGAGAAGAAATCACATGAAAGATGTACACTTTTCAAAAATGATTATTAATATCTAAAATGGTTCTGACCACTTTCATCAACCCAGACGTTTGCACCGTACTTCTGGAGCTTGATATTTTCACTGGCCGTCACAATGAAGGATCGGTCACTGGGAACATGAAAGTTGAGGCAGATGCACTTAAGGCAGGTGTTTTTTGTTTTCTTGTCGTCCACAAGTACGCTGACGAACAGCTCCCCTTTCCCTGCAATGTTAATGTACTCTTTAGGAGGAAGAGGGATGTAGTGCACTCGTGAGTCAGGTCTAAAAACCATTGTGGAGCTGATATTTCCCTGTGCTGAGACGCTTAAGCTTGAATAACCCTCCCCTGCCTCTGCTTTGACCACAAGATCTTCAAGTGTCATCTGTGATGTCTGATAGTAAATTCTCAAGTGCTTATCTGTTGCATTGGCCACATGTGTGTTTGATCTTGATCGTGCGCAGCCCATTTCCTGCTGTATCCACCAAGGACCTGGAATGAAAAGAGTGGGGAATCAAATTAATTCCACTGATCTTTGATTGACATTCATTTAACACACCGTTGCTCCCTTTTTTCCACAAACGTCTTACTAACTGGTCAGAGCATTTGTGAGTTTGCAGTAGCACAAATATATCCTTGATCTTATTAATTTGACAAAATATTGTCCACTGTTTGGCACAACTAGGTTGCATCCCGTCACAGAGACTTGAGTCAAAATCCAATGACATGATCATCTGTGGCCAAGAGTTTAGTTGGTGGCAGTTGGTAATGACCACCATGGTAGACAAACAGAGCAACCCCTTCTGAAAATGAAGCATGTTCTAATAACAAATAACGTTTTGTAATTAAAAGTTTTAACTTTAAATAATATTAATTTTTACAAACTTTTACAAACAAAAAATTGGTTGAAACCTGAAATCTTGTTTGAATCCTGAAAAAGGCTACAGGCTGAAACAGTCACCAATACAGCCCAAGTGGTGTACTTTGTAGTTACAAAAGTTATAACCAGTTATAACCAGTTTTATAGCTGTGAAAGTAATTGTGTACAGAAACTATCCAAATCAAAGTTACTTTATAACCTCACAGTGACTTTGAAGCACAAAAATAGCTGCCATTCATCAGAGCAAATGCTCAATATCAGAAATAAGACATGAGCAGGTTTACACTGAGCACAATCAAAGTTATGACAATGAACACAGTGTTTGCAAAACTGTAACATGTTTACACTTATTTCACTTCACACGTTTAGGATACTACATATAAAATATACTACATGTGAAATATGTGAAAACCCTGGTTACTAAAAGGAATTTAATATAGTTGCTGGCTCTGATTAGAACACAGAGGGTTTTTAAACAGGAAATGACAACAAAACTACATCAGGCCCTGATTCATCCTAATATAAGAAATAAACTGCTAATAAGCTGGACAGAAGCTGAAACTGAAATCTGGTTTGCTCTTGAGGCTTTTAACTTTGGTAGCTTGAACAGAGCTTGTTTTTATCTGGATCAGAAGAGAGTCCAAAAGAGAGACTCCAGAGAAAGTCATAAACCTTTCCAGTAACTATAACTACCAACTGACACTAGAAGATATACAATTCTATTAAAGTATGAACAATCTGAGACCTTCAGGTCCTCACTTTGATTTTAGTGTTTGTCTTGTGGCTCTGCTGTTTCCTGAAATTCATTTTCTGAGAATATGTTTGAAAATTTTCATCTATTTTGTTAATCTGGTGAAATATCTCAGGTACTCTTGCTTGTTTTTAAAAACATATGATCAGAGTAACTTACCTTTGTGTCTGCAAGAATTTCCAGTTGAAGTGAAGGTGTTAAAGAAGCAGAACAGGTTGAGTCAAAAACAAAACATGCCTAATAAAGGCTCACACAGACACACAGAGTGTGTATTCAAGGCTGAGACACAGAGGGAAGTGCCGGTGGCTAAAATGCGTATAGGCTGGTCTGGGGGCGTGGTAATGGTGGGGGGCGTGGCTGGAAGCACAGAACTTTTTTCTCAAAAACTTCCTTCTCACAGACCTTGATAAGTGATACAAGTTTGTTTCTGTGTTGTCTTGTGTGCAGTTTTGTCACTCATCAGGTTTATATTTTAACTTTTGAGATCAAAACACAGTTAAATTCACAAATTCCTGCTTCAGAATTTGCTACAGTGAAACGAGAATGCAGTTAATCAGATTCTATTCTAGTCAGCATTGAAGGCATATGTGCTGTTTGGAGGCCTTGAGTTTCACACCATCACAACCCAGATACAAAACAAGAGGAGATATTTAGCCATGACTCTCCCATTTACTACAGGAGAGAACCCAGTCAGTGATGGACAAAATGAGACAACATAAACACACCAAATGAAGACAGTGTAAAGACATTGGGGAAACAGTCAGAGGAATAAATACACCCTCTAGCAGATCCAATCAAATCAAAAGATTTAGCTTTAGAGACTTTGTAACCATAGTGTCATTACACTGTTATTTCCTTTGGAAACACTATACAACAATAAAGTTCCTTAGTAACCCACTAAATATGCACCAACAGCTCATGAACAAATATAATAATTACCAGCAACTCATTGTGTTATGCTTATTTATTAATGAAGGAAAATGAGAAGGAATCGGTTGTTCTTCCAGTAGTTAACATAGGAATAAAGTACATTCACGGAACGTATGGACAGAATAACTAGTACAGTGACTAAGATCAACAAATATAATTACTATAAGGTTAACTAACTGAACGTTAGAGATTAATTTCTTTGTGTTAACATCCTCAGAACATTCAATCATTCTAGGTTTGCCATGGCTAGCCAAAACATGATCCCTTGATTTCTTGGGAAACTGGAGAAATTTTGTCTTGGTTATCATTCTGTCATGAAAACGGCTTAACTTTCCCTACTATCTTTTGTTACGACCCCACATTTTGTCTAGGGTGTGTGGGATCAGTAACATGTGGCATTAAAATATTGAACTGGTGAGAATGGATTAGAAATGTGAGGAACAGACCAATATAAAGATTTTGAAGCCATTTTTATTAAAATAAACCTCAATAAAACCAGAGTGCTGTGATACCCAGTACCACACTGGAAGAATCAAACTGAATGGCACCAAAGAAAAGAACAAATCAGAACCTAACCACGCTCGCCTACTCTGAAACAAAAAGTATTTAGCTAATCTAAAAAAAGGAAACCAAAGCTAACTACTCTAAACTTCCCTAGCCAGTAACCAAAAGTACAAGTGGCGGTGCCCTCTGACCTAGGGAGCTAGACAGAGCAGACATCTACGTGGTGTGAATGTATAGGTGCACCCCTCTTACCTGTTTGAAACCCAGGTGGTACAAACAATCTCTTGTAAAACAAAGTTAAAAGTGTGCAGGTAAAATACCAAAACTAAAGTACTTCCTCTAACATAAGACAAACTCATGCAAACTAAGTTAAAGAAGCTCTGGTAAAATACCTAAAACAAAGCACTCCCAACACGAGAGATCAAAACACACACTAAAACAGCACACATGTGATTAGTCCTCTCTCTCTTCAGCCATCATGAAGGTCTCTTTTAAAACATAGGCTCCTCCCCCAACTGCACCAGCCAGGCCTCTGGTTGGTTCTCCTCACATGACTGTTTGCAGAGCAGGTACCTCTGAAGGAAGAGACCAAGAGAGAGAGAGAGACATACAAAAAAACAAAATACATGCTTACACGTAACACTAAGTTCAATATCCAATGGAATTCCAGCTCTTTTGTGTCTGTACATATTCCTCCTGAGTATGCTGACCTCAGTGAGGTCTTCATTAAGAGCAAGGCTACTAAATTACCACCTCACAGGGAATATGATTGTGCTTTCAAATTGCTGGAGAATCAGATACCCCTTAAACCTAGAGTACATCCTTTAACACAAGCTACAGAGGAATATGTACAGGAAGCCCTAGCCCAGAGTTTCATTCATCCATTTACATCACCCCCTGCCAATGGGGTTTGAGATTGTGCATATATTATAGCATTGTAGCTTTAGAACAGCTTAAAGGTGCCACTGTTTTCACCAATGTGGACATTCGTAGTGCCTATACTTTGGTTTTAATCAAAGAGGGTGACGAAAAAGGGCACTGAGTACTTGGTCATGCCATTCAGACTACATAATGCTCCCTTAGTTTTTCAAGCATTCATCAGTGAACCAGTCATCGGGGACGTGCTTGGTCACTTCGTTATTGCCTATATTGATGATACACTCATACATTCTCCAGATTTGGAGACAGACATTCAACATGCCCATCAAGTGGTGTCTCATTTGTTGGAACATCAGTTGTTCATTAAAGGAGAAAAGTGTTTCATTTATCATCTGTCTCATTCTTGGGTTATATTAGCACCAAGGGAGCAGTCATGGATGATAGTATGGTTGATGCAGTAATTAGTTGGCCAAGTTTCAGTTCACAATTACCTATCACCTTGGTACAATAATACCAAAGCTGACGCCTTATCTCGCATGTTCTCTGGAGATATTTGTAATGGTGGCAGACAGAACCAGATGTTTGCAGCAGAGGCTTGAATTAAGATGTTTAGTAACAAAGGGGTTGTCCAAAATTACAGTCTTAAAGCCAAAGCAGAGAGTCGAAAACCAGAGCACCAAAACAGAACAAATGGGAAAAGCCAAAATCAATGTAATCGTAAACAGAAAACGGGTCATACACGGGTAAGCAAGGAGCAGGACCACTGGACTGAACCGGACAGGAACTGGCGATGCTTTTGTGGGGTGTCCTCTTGGATGAGGGTCTGGCTTCTCTGGATGCCAGGTGTGGAAGTCCGCCAATAAGACGGGGTCGAGGACAACCTTGCCCCCTCCCAGAGCACGTATCCTCCGGTCCGTATGCCTCCCAGTCTATGAGGTACTGGAGGTTACCCCCACACCGTGGGGAGTCCAGCACATGACGGACAGCGTAGTCCGAAGTTCCCTCTACCTCCTGCGGTGCAGGTGGAGCTTCTTCAGGTGACAGCTCGTCCAAGGGACCTGGGACTACAGGTTTAAGGAGGAAAACGTGAAAAGTGGGTGAGACACAAAACTGTGCAGGCAAATTAAGCCGACAGGTCTCCCCCTGATGCCGATCAGCTTGTCGTTTGACACGCTGCAGAGCTGCCTTGATGTGGCAGTGGGTCTGTTCCCAGACCTCCTTGCTGCACTTCATTTAGTCGTCCACAGCGAGAATGTTTGACAGAATAGCAGTCCAGGGGGCGAGCGGAGGTTGGTAACCTAATGCATATTGGAAAGGTGTCATACGTGTGGCTGAACAAACTAGAGAGTTCTGAGAGTTCGGCCCAAATGAGATGAGTTGCTGCTACAGATGGAATAAAAGAACTTGGCTAATTTTTGATTCACCCACTGATGGTTTGAGGCATGATACGTATGAAATGGAGATAAAAATTGGCAAAGCCTAGGACACTTTGCAAGTCCTTAACTGAAGTAGGAGTTGCCCAATTAACCACTGCTTCCACCTTGTTGTCGTTCATCACAATGCCATTTTCACTGACTACGTAACCCAAGAGGGACACGTCACATTTCTCACCATTGATATAGAGCTGATTTTGGAGGAGGCATCGTAGGACCTGATGAACATGTCTAACATGTGAGCCAAAATCAGGTAAATAAATCAATATGTTGTCAATATTGGCTATCATGAAATGTCCAATATGTTCATATCTCTTCGTACGTCATTGACGAATGAGTGAAACACGGAAGGAGTACTGGCCAGGCCGAAATGCATTATCATAGTGCCCCCTTGTGGTGACAAAGGCAGTCTTCCACTCATCTCCCTTCCTGATTCTAAAGCTACTGTTATAAGTGATGAGGGGTAAGGGAACTTATTAATGATGTCATTAAGACCTCTATAATCAACACATGGACAGATCCCTCCATCATTCTTCTTAATAGCAATAGTCAGACCATGAGGTAATGTTCTTATCTAACCAAGAAATCTGAGGATTGTGGATTTCTTACCAGGGAAGGAATTCAGAAGTTTCCAAGACAAAAATAGGATGATTTCTGAATGTAGAGAGCTAGTGTTGAGTTTGATGGAGGTGTTATATGTGCAATGGTGCTCAGTCCGACAGGTTCTCCATCTAAGGTGGCAATCTTGAGTGGATGGTCTAGTGGTTCTACTGGAATCCACAAATCTTGAACCACATTGGCATTGATGAAGTTGGCCTCTGCTCTGGAGTCACTGGAAGCTAAAAAGAAAGCAGAAACATCTTGGCACAACAATGTGACAGGTAAGAGAAATGACTTTTTAACCAACCCCGTGGTGGGAATACTCATCACATTCACTCACTATCATGGGGTTGGAGCCTGAATGTTTTGCGGGCGAACCCAACAATTTTAGAGAAAGTGGCCCGTAGCGCCACATTACAGGCACAAACCCTCCTGGCGCTGTTGGAGTTTCTCTGGTGACACTCTGGAGGAGTCACACTGCATAGGAACTGAATTTGGAGACTGAGCTAAGTTCACACTGTTCCGAAATGCCACAATGAGTGCTGGCTCATTCCAACCACTACCAGCAGCGAGTGTACGAAACTCAAGTGCACAGCTAATGACCGGATGAGTTCCCTGGCAAATCTTAGAGAGAATCTCTCCACAAGCTCTACCCTGATGAGGGTGATTAAAAGCGGTTCTAAAGTCCTTAATACACTGTTCAACAGTGAGCCACTGCACTCTCGTCCAAACAGCAGTAGCCCATTCTAAAGATCTATCCATCAGTCTGGAAACAATAAAGGCGATCTTGGGGTGAATTACTGAAATAAACAGAGCAATTGTGCACTGCATTTGTCGGGTGAGGCATCAAATTTGTCAGGTTTACTGACCGGAAAGTGAACAATGGGGGCTACAGTCACAGGAGATAAGGCAGTAGGTTGTGGCTTGGGCTCGGGCAGGCTAAGCAGTTAGAGCTGGGTGGAC